TTTTATTAGTAACAACTCTAAAAAATTATCTGTTACCTGAGGCTTGGAGGGACCTGTGTTAGACTCTCTTTAGGAAACAAAAACGACATAAGACATAAAAAAAGTTCTTTTAAGATGTATATTATGCATATAAAATAATAAATCTTAAGTGAAAATGGATTAAATATTATTTTGATTTATAAGAGAAAGTAATTATAAAGTTCAAGGCCAACTTCATGGAGAAATTGATCCAAATAGCTCAGCATTTATGCTGGACTTACCTAAGCTTGCAATTTCTAGATATAAATAGGAAGGCTAAATAATTTGAGGAATATAATAATGTCCAACCCCCAGTAACTGGTTAAAACACTTTAAATAAAAAAGCCAAGTTTAATTCAATATGTAATTAATGACAATTTCAAGAGAAGAAATAATAGAATATAATCTTTTAGGCTATTAAATGAATTCAGAAAACTTGAATTTCAGGCAAACTGATTTTACAATAAGCCAATGAGGGAGCAAATATTAACTTAAGTTTCTGTTTTAGGCTTCTTAGTCTATGGTGCAGGTCACAAGCAGAAACATAAGTGGCATATTTTAAACTAAGCTGAAAGAAACTCCAAAATTGAAATTTTTACATATAAATTGGAAGAGAAATCTGCTCATATTGATGGTGGTGGGACCTTTCATACTCAGTATTGACTCCCTCAAAATAAAACACATTCATATTAAAGTCATACATTTATCTGCTGTCTGTAGTAGGTGATTACTTTTTATCTCAGACAAATTTAGAATTTTTCAATAATGTGGATTCAGATGCATTTCTTCTTCCTTAATTCAAACGTACTGTTCAAAAGTCCCACATTATCTGGCTTTTTTTTTTTTTTCAAAGTTGATGTTTTCTATTACTAACATCTTCTAGAAAATAAGTTTTTTTTTTAATTTTTAATATTTTGCTTATGAGGAAAGAAAGGAACTCACAAGTGCTCTTCTTTCCTGAAGTTAATATATTACCATGTGTCTGATCTTCGTAATATGAGGACTACTGATGACACTAAGCTTTCTTGGAATGAGGGAGGAGATGCATTTAATCTTACATAGCAATCTAATGTCAAATAAACTCTTTTTCAACTTTAATATACAGATTATTCAACCCACCCTGGAGTTTCAGGATGCTGGATGAAGAACAATAGGCTTACTGTTTATAACACACATTTTTAGTCTAACACAATTCTTCAAGAGACCCAGAAGGAATTTACATATAACTGATGCCCCGTAGCCACCTTCTTGGTATTCCTTTCCCTCAAAAAGTACTTATTGTATTGCTAATAATTGTCCAATGATCAGTAGCTAAAAAATTCAATATCCAAGCATCCATTTAAAAATCTTAATCTGCAGTAGTCTGTCATTGAATTTCTGATTAAGAAACTGTAACAATTTTTTTTTTAACCTTATGTCTTAGCTGGGCAGCTTAAACAACAGAAATTTATTTTTCATGGTTCTGGAGCCTGGAAATTCAAAGATCAGGGTATCATCTGCTGATTTGGCTTCTGGTGAGGGTTCTGTTCCTGGTTGAACAGATACTTTGTTGTTGCATTCTAACATGGCAGAGAGAGAGATTTTCTCTCCCACATGCGTTATTAAGAGGCACTAATCTTACTTGAGAGGGCTCTACTCTAATGACCTAATTAACTCCCAAAGACCCTTTTAGGGAAGGAAAATAATATTTTTTCCTCACTCATCACAATGTTTATGGCTGAGGTCCCTATATCAACACATTAACAAGATGAAAACATATACCTGTATTGAATACGTTTCAGTTGACATGGGATCCTTCAGAAATGAAGACCCATATAGACAGGGAAATTTGCGTATATTTATGTTTATGTTTCATGAATGGTATACAGTCATGTAGAAGAATGACTGAAGAAAAAGGGTTAGATTTAAAGGTAATAAAGTGGAGAGAACTTAGGCCCGTTTGTTCAGATTCTTCTTGGCATCTCTGTGTTTACAAGGACAAGAGTTTCTCAGAATTTCTCTTTTCTCAGCTTATAGGGAGGGCCCTGCTGGAATGAAGGCTTTATGACCTACTTTCTGGTAAGACTAGCTAGATTTTACGGCCAGTTTCAGGGGAGAAGGGAAGAGGAAAGTGAGAGTGACCTTTCTGTTTCTGTCATTTTCTTAAATGTCAAGGTGCCATATTTTGGAATAGTTTGTCTTGAATCTCATTGATCCCCACTTCCAAATATCATAGCACTGGGGATTAGGGTTTCAACATATAAATTTGGGGGAACCTAAGCAGAAACACATAGTACTTTTTTAAGTACCAACAATTTAGTGTTTGGTGACACTATTGGCTTCAAACAAGTCTTGATGAGGAAGCAGTGAGTTGCCATTAGATTTCTTTCCAAATACCCTGTTCGAGTCAATATATCAGACAATCAAGAAAGTGATTTCCCCTTCCTATTGAGTCTTAGGATACACATATAAAGCAAAATGCGTATACAGTCATCCCTAGATATTCATGGGGATTGGTTCCAGGACGCTTCCTCTGTATATCAAAATCCATGATTGCTCAAATATCTTATTTTAAATGGGGTATTATTTGCATATAACTTATGTACATCCTTCATAAATAATCTCTAGATAACTTATAATGCCTAATACAATGTAAATATTTGCTATATTTTTAAAATTTGTGTTCTTTTTATTATTTCATTGTTATTTAAAAAAATATTTTGTGCATGTGGGACCATGGATGCAGAGGGCTTACTAGGATGCATATATGTAAGAAACTTTTAAAGAGTGGTCAAATGATCTTGTTCTTCTTACAAAAACAAGATCAAACCAACTCTTTGTGAAAATAAATTTAAAGGCTGGGGGCAGTGGATCAAGCTTGTAACCCTAGCACTTTGGGAGGCTGAAGTGGGTGGATTACCTGAGGTCAGGGCTTCCAGACCAGCCTGGGCAACATGGTGAAACCCTATCTCTACTAAAAATACAAAAATTAGCCATGCATGGTGGTATGTGCCTGTAATTCCAGCTACCTGGGAGGCTGAGGCAGGAGAATCTCTGGAACCCGGGAGGCGGAGGCTGCAGTGAGCCACGGTCGCACTACTGGCACTCCAGCCTGGGCAACAGGGCAAGACTTCATCTCTAAAAAATAAAGTAAAACAAATTCAAAAATATATCTTCAACACCAAAAGGATTGATTAAATGATTTGTCCTCTTTATTTGGTGGTCCACAAAGCCAGACTAACATAGTAAAATTCAATTATCTACTTTATTTGTAAGACATATATGGCACTGATAGATCAGTTATGTGTCAGGAGACATGGTAAGCCCATAATAAATATTAATTAATTCCAGTCCTCACAATAATCCTACTAGGTACCTATTAGTGTCCTGCTTTCAAGTGACAGTAAAAAATTTAAAAAGAGAGAGAGAGACAAAGCATACCCAACGCCCCAGCAAAAGACAAAGATGTATGACTTGTAGAAATTAACCACCCTATATAAGGAAAAACTAAAATTTGAACGTAGGTCTATCTGAATTCCAAAGGGCAATTTTTAACACTATATTTTACTGACAGTTTTGCCAATTAGTGCTGTGAGCTGGTGTGTACCCATGAGTTATATTTAAGTAAATGAAAGCTAAGATGATATGCTAGATTCTTTTAAACATTTCACACATTAACATAAATCGAATTGATAAAGACCAACCAAAATTCTTTGTACATTCTACGTATGTGTCACTTTTTATTAATGTTTGACTCCTAAACATGAATAATTCTTTCAAACTAATTTTTAGAGAGTAATTTTATTCATCCAATTTACAAACTGTTTTGTAGTTTAATCTAGTAGCTGCTATATTACATACAACAAAAGAAAATAACTGATAGAAATAGTTTTATATGCAAATCGAATCTTAGTTAATGGCATAGTATTTTTTCCAATATTAATAATAGAAAGTCTGCCAGAGTTATGAAAAATGGTGATTTGAGATGGACATTTGGAAAAATATAAAGGGCAAGTTATTCTCTAAGTTCTTATTTGCACCTTAAGATTTTATAAAAATTCAGTATTTTTTATTAGTCCCATCAATTTTATTAAGAGCTGTGTTTACTAAATCAGGTTAAATGCTTGCCGTTCTTGGAAGAATTATTTTACCTGCGTTTTCTTTTGTGACATCTGCTGGCAATACCTGGTATTACACTGCTCTATAATTCACCTTTATCTGCCTTCTCCAACTGTCCAATACTTTTCCAGATAATACCAATTTATTTCAACTTAATATAATGAGTGTCTTGAACTAAAGAAAAGGTATTTTAATATGAATCTGAATTATAGAAGCAGAACATTTAGCACTCTAGAGGATCATTATTTAGCATCTTACATATGTATTTTAATTTCATAGCTTGATACTAAAAGAGATGTATACTGTTTTTCTGAAAACTTTAAGCTTGTTTCAGGTAAAAGTGTTATGTATTATGCTTACGAAGGATAATTGTCAACCAATCCCTCTAGTGATGCTGTCCCACACAGATGTTCTCTGTAATTTGATAGCTATGTGATTAAAAAAATGTACATTAAAGTAAAACAGTGCAGGTGTCAAGTCAAAATTCATGTTTAAAAAATGAATGAACTGCCCCTAAATTTCTGTACACACTGGATCCATGGCTATGAAGCAGGAGGCATGAGCAAACTTTTTATATTACCAGGAATCCATTTATCTGCAGTCCCGTCAGTCAAATTTAGATACTTGTTGCCAGCTGCAAGATTTATAGTCTGGAGCTGGTTTTTGAAATTGCTTTGTATTTCTATTTAACAGCCAGGGAAGCTGCATGTTAAAATTTTGCCTCAGTCTCCTTGGATCCTATTTATAAAGCTTATTTGTTCTCTCCAATTTTTTTTTTTTTTTTTCACTTCTAAATGCCAGCTCCAGGCTTCTAAACCATTAAACCCCCTTCTTTATCCCAAGCAAAATACTGTCATAGACAACGCTGTGGCAGGACAGTGATGATTCCGATGATGATATAGTTCTCCCAGGCAGGATACAAACCATTTCGTCTTCTGGCCGGAGATGGATTCACTGCCCTCCCTGCAGACACGCAGGCTCACACACGGAGCACTGGGAAGTACACATTTACTGTACTGCATGCCGACTGCCTTGAAGAAACTGTAGCTAACCACCTTATTAGTATTCTTGCCTCCACCGTGTCTCACTTGCAGCATCAGAGGGCTGAGCAAATGCAGTAGAACAGGGACAGACACAGCTCTGGCAATCATATCAATGCAGGCTGCCGAATGTTGGGGGTGGGGGATGCAGCACATCAAGATTAATAACCTTGCCATAATCTGGGGCACCCTGCAAGCAGACACCTCTGCTGATTGACCTGCTCCTGGCTTGATGCATCTGCCTGGGGGAGAGGGATCTGGAATCTACCTAGTCCTGGGCTCCCCCTGATTTTGGATGTTCATTTGATCCTTCACAGATCTGGGAAGGTAACAGTGAGCGGTACCATCTGCAGCACACAGCAGCTCTTGGAGGTTACTACTGACAGTTTTCATTACACTGGTTTGTGTGAGTGCGTGCGTGTGTTTGTGTGTGTTTGTGAGTGTGGGTGCCTGCTGTTGCATGAAAGAGAATGTGTGAGTGTCCGTGTGTGTGTGTGTGTTAGTGTGGCAACCAAAGCAGGTATTTCGTACAGTAGGAGATTTCAACAGCGTGACAATATTCTCTGGGTACTTGGGCTCACAGTCAGTAGCCCCCACCCCCTGCCTTTCGCCACCTCCTTGCTTCCCCACTCCCCCTTCTGCTTTTGCCTTTGATGAGTTTTTGGCTTACTTTTTGGCGGAGTCTCTTGGACACGTTTTTGCTGGTGCTGGAAGATCAGATACATGGAACCTTTGAAAACTGATGGTTTTCCTCCGATATGACTTAAAAAAAATAAAAAGAAGAAAAGAAAATAGAGTAGTGCACGGCAAGCTAGAGGATTGTAAATTTCCCTTGGTGAACTTTGAGGATCCACAAGGAAGGTAAGTCATGGGACTCCTCGGATCTCAGTCCTTGTCTTGCAATGTTTGTGTTTTCCTGTTTGTTTTCAGAAATCCGTATGCAGTTTATACGCGCATTTCTAGAGACTGGAATGCTCAGAAGAACTCAGTGTGTGGCATTTTGGGGCTATTTTTATGCCAAGGAGATTATTTCCATTTGTATAACCATCCCCCCATGCCTCTTACCATTTTTATACCTCTCTTGTTTTTCTAACATCTTCACAGGGATTTCTGAATATAAGAAATCTGGAAAAAATGTAATTCCAGCTTTCTCCTGCCTTGCAATACTCTCCAAATTTGAGGAAAAACATTAATCAGAAAAGCGCCTAGCAGAGGCTCCGAGTTAGAGGCAAAGTGTGTCTGCTCAGAGACTGGGGGTTGGGGAGGTGGGGGTGTAATCCGGACTTTCATGATAACTTAATAGTACACTTTCCCCTCCCCATACCTCTATTTTTTAATTCTCGAATAATTATTTCTGCTCTAGAGAGTAGCGAATGTATGGAATACAGAAAAGCTGCTTCACCAGCTCTTAATTGGAGCAAATGAGAACAAAGTGGAAATTGTTTAGTATTTTGAACCTCTTCTGTCTTTTTGATTCTCTGTCTATTGCATCTCATTAACCTTTCTGAATGCAGCGTCCCCTGATTAAGACTAGTGTCGCTCATTTTGGAACATCCTCTTACCCTACGTGGTCCCCTGAGAAGGGAGTGTGATTGCAAATTGCTCTTAATTGTCGATTCTTGGCTGTAAAAGCAAGTGGCATCAGGAATTCAGGTGACTTTAGTCAAATATCTTGCCTAACTCAGTCTGTTTAGTTTCCTGGTAGTTAGCTGTGCCTTTATCTTTCCCTGCTTTTCCTTCAAAGTGAAATGCAGATAATATTTTACCTGTTTCAATTCCAAGGTTATTTAATTAAAGGAAAATAACATTTCATTGTGATAACATCTGTGTTCCTGTGTCTTTGAGTATTTTTATCTCTGCATTGGCATCAATTAGCTTCTCCCCGGGAGTAAGAATCACTTGTAAATAGGTTTCTAAAATGCTGAGACCCCACATCAAAGCGACAGTACCTTACTTGTCATCTGCCACTGCTTGTGGATGGTTTATCTTTAAAAGAATAGTGACATTTCATGGAATATTAGCCAACTTGAACTGTCACTGTGGACACGTTCATGGAAGAGATGACAGGTGTGTTAAGTAGGTAGAGAAGGACATGCCTAAGTGATTCTCTACAGGCATTGATGCCTGTGTATAGAAAGAAGATGCCAATTGTAACATAATAAATTTATTCAGAGGCTGGGTGGCCTGGGTCTCAGATTTATGAGAGCACCAAGTTGAGAGATGTCAGAGTTCATGCTCAAAATACTGATATTTGTTTTTATAAAAAGGAGTTACCAAAAGAAAAGCAACTCCCCCTCCCAAAACAAAACAAAACAAAACCACCTTAAAGAGGAGATTATACTCTGGTATTACACTAAGCCTTTCATCTATCTAACGTTTTTTGCATAATGATTTTAGAGAAGCAGGTAAAAGAGGACAAGGGTGAGAAGCTGCCCCTCCTCCACTCCTGGCCCAACCTTGTACCCAGTACTCCTGACAGTGCTTGCTCTTGGTAAAAATTACCATGGGAAAATTACTGCCATTATAATTTATAATTTGTCTTTCTTGTAATGATTTATGACCAGGGTAGTTTCATCTGTTACCCATAATGTACAGGTAAATTTTTCTCATCTAGAAAGGAGGTTTGTTGTTTTCTTTTTTAAAAATTTTTAAATGGCTTGAACCTAGGAGAAACCCTAAATCAAATGTTATTTTCTTTGTGGTGAAAACAATCTGAGGATCTTAAAACCTGAAAGTGAGACTAATATGTGAATAAGAAACATGAAGTTTCTGTTGTAAGGAGAAGGACCCTGATACTCCCAAGTGCCAATGGGTCATGGTAGGGTATTGGAGGCTCCCAAGTTCTGTTGGACAATCAGCATTCCTTAAGTTGTTCAGCTCTTTATTAACCTGCAGCTTTTGACAAGTAGTCCCAGGTTCAGAGGACAGTGTTTTAGGTCATCTATTTTGTGTGAGGACTGTTCTGAATAGAGAGAGGTCCTTTGAAAAAGTCGTTCTGGAATTTGGCAAATTAGTACCTCTCTCCATTGAGGCTATTTAATTTTGACTGTTCTCCCATTCATATCCTCACCAAGTATTGGTATATTTAGATGTGTGATGTTGGTAAAAATTAATTGCATTGCTTGTTCTCAACACTACCTCAAAACAACAACAACAATAACAACAAAAGATACCAACTTGGTTTTTTTTGTATTTAAGATTTAGTAATTGTAATGAGTGATTCTTCTAGCGATAGCAACACTTTCATTATCACTTATTTTAGGCTAATAATAGAAGTGGGGCACAAGCCAACTTGGATTTTCTGATTACAGCTTAGGCAATGTGCAAAGCATCTCTCCCACATCTCAAGGACTCCTGATGGTGTTTGCACAACTGTAACTTTGCATCTTTATTTTCAGCTCAGGCCAGAGAAATGATAAACAGCTTTTGATCAGAACCAACTCCAGATTCATGTTTTATTTTGTGGTAGAGAGTGTTTTGAGATTCACCAGGGCTTGTTTTATTGCTTAGAGAATTCAGAAAAGAAAGGTAAATGGGGGTAGGGAGCTTTCCATTTCAGTAGGAGTAACATGTCAGAGTTGCTAAAGAAAATGGTGAAGTTCCCCAGAAGCAACATATGCAGGTTTATATTTTTAAAAGAATGAATTGGTGAAGGGTTGCTCTGAGTTTATTGGGGAGAATAAAGGACATTCCAGTTTCTTCTCTATTTAACTCTATTCATTTGGCAGGCCTTTCTCTGGGCCCCTGCTAAAGTCAGCCAAGGAGGCCCCACATTCTCCAGCGTGTTTCTGTGTTTTTAAGACCCAGGGCACTTAACACATGAATAGCTCTTTCCTTCTATAACAAACAGGGTTGCCAGCTGGAAAGTCAGCTACTGAGAACCTTTAAAGAAAGCCAGGAATATCACCTAGTAAGTTCAAGAGCAGAGAGGAGATTTGGGAGCCCTGGCCCTGGAGGTGGGTAAGGACCAGATGGATTGAACTTGAAATTTTGATTGCTGAGTCATTATAACAGCCTAGAGCTGTATGTTAGCTTGAAGAGCTGAGCTGATGCTGAAAATGGGGCTAATATGAATAGGCTAAGAGCATCAGCCTACAACAGAAAATGAAGACTCTTGGGAGGAAGAAGATATACTCTCTGATGACAAATGCTATTGTGTGTCCTTGATACTGTTCTCCATCACTTCAGAACAACCTCTCAGGGATCCCAATAAATTACAAAATAAAAGATGGATTAATTGATAGGTGAATAGAGCAGGGGCTTTGCAATAAATTAAGCCAACTCACTCAATTATGTGCATTTCCATTTGGGACTACTCAGCAGTCACAGATAAAATGGGGAATGGTGGAGGCTGGGGTTAAAATCAGAAGGAAAAAAAACTCTGGATTGAGAATCAGAAGATATCAGTCAAACATTGCAAGTATTGCTTAATGGTTGATAGGTCTTTCAAAGTCTTGGAACCTTGACTTCCTCCTAAGTAACTTGTAAATATTTTTAACTCATAGTGTTGTAGCGAAGACTATGGTGAAATATTGTAGAAAAAAGGATCTACAAATATACACTTCTGTAGAAATGTAAGATGTTATAGCCATGATGACTTTATCTATTCAAGACATTATAAAATGATTCCTCCAATATAATCTCAAGTGAAAGTGTTAAGCAGAATTCGTCTATTCTTTTTTTTTTTTTTTTTTTTGGAGATGGAGTCTCTCTCTATCACCCAGGCTGGAGTGCAATGAATGGCACAGTCTCAGCCCATTGCAACCTCCGCCTCCCCAGTTCAAGCGACTCTCCTGCCTCAGCCTCCTGAGTAGCTGGGATTACAGGCAACCACCACCATGCCTGGCCAATTTTTTTTGTATTTTTAGTAGAGACGGGGTTTCACCATGTTGGCCAGGCTGGTCTCAAACTCATGACCTCTTGATCTGCCCGTCTTAGCCTCCCAAAGTGTTGGCATTGCAGGCGTGAGCCACTGCACCTGGCAGAACTGGTCTATTCTTAGTGATTGGTGATTAACATTTATGTTGTTGTAGTTCTGATGTTTTCCCAAATGTGCTGACTCTACCTCTTTTAAAGTAATTTTTGTGGTACATTCTAAGTTACTTGTGGATATGTGTGTTTGTTTTGTGTATGCACATGTGTGTGTATACATGTAAACATAAATAATTTGCCAATCTATATGAAGCATAATTTTAGTTTCATGAAAAATAGAAAATGTTTAGTGACCTGAATTCATTTTCACTGGATATCCAGAAACGTAAGAAAAACTTGGCTTCTTCAGACTTGGACATACACAGACTTCTAGCAAGTTTGTAGTCTCCAAATAACTCCAGTCCACCATGAGGTTGTTTAGATTTTGAGTTACACCTGGGAATTGTATAAATAAAATGTACATCTATAATAATAGCATGGCATACAGTGATTGTCACAGTAAATTGCACTTGGTAGACAGATAGACCAGAGTAAAAAAGCTGATTTGGAAGTTATGACAGCCAGAGAATATGACAGTGAGAACAGGCTTTGGAGTTGAATAGATGAAGATCAGATACCTAATCTCTGGAAGCCTCAGTTGTCTAATCTGTAAAATGGGGACAATCAGTTATAAGCAATGTGTGATGAGTGAATGAATAATTGTATATAAAACACTTGGTAAAACCCTTGACACAAAATTGGACTTCTTAAGGTAGCTCACATATATTCTCTCATTCCTGTTCAACTAGTTTAAGAATAGGAAGACCACCCTAATTCAGTGCATTTATATTCTTATATAGGGAGGCAAAACCCCAAATATAATCTGAATGCGAAGTAAAATTGGAGAGAGTAAGCTATATTCTGAAAGCTATATCTGTACAGTAGCTCAT